AACGAATAACTAGCTATTCGCAATCAGAGACCAACTGCCTGACAACAATCATCAGTAAATATCAACTGGGCGTACGAGGTTCGGGAAATGTCCTAGGGACGTAAGGTGATTGCATCATAGAGATATTATGGGTGGGTGACAACTTTTCATTAAGGAAGAATGGACCAAGCCGAACCAGCTGCCACGGAAGCTCTCTGAGAATCGGTCAAAAGAAGTTGGGTTGCGTTTGACGGAATTCGATTTTAAAACTTCTGGCCCCTACATGCACAACAAACTGTCGGGAGCGGAGAGTTGGGAAAGCTTTGATAGACCACCTCCACACTACTCAACTCAACCCACCCTATTCTGACTCTTGGAAAGCCGTGGCAGCTATCTTAACCCTACCCATAAATGCGACGCAACCACCCATACAAATCTTGGCGCTGTTTGACGGCCAAGTATCCCTTAGAACGCATATCTCGTACGAATGTCCTCCAACTTCTTCGAAATCTGAAAGAAATTCCGTTGTATTCTAAAAAAGCGAATCTTAATTACGTATCTTATTTTCATTTCATCTGGTACCACATATCTCAGGCAGCGTTCAGACTTCGCAATGCCGCGCGTCGACGCATGTCATTGCGAAGTCTGAACGCTGCCCTTATCAGGTGATACTAAATGTGTTTGGATATTTGATTTTGAGCACCTTTGATAATTTTCAGTAATAGTACTTTTCAGAGTGACTGAGCTATTACAAAGAGCCCCTCATAGTAAAATTCTATGAGTTAATGATGTGGATATTTGAATAAATAAATGAATTACTAAATAAATAAATATCCATTTTATGCTTAGAAACAAATTCACTAAAAAAATAAATTACAAAAATTAAATGACACCGCTTGAACATACCTCGCTGGTAGTCCGATCAAGTCCTTCCGTCACCTCTCGTTGCGCAGCCGTATCCATCAAACCGAACTGTTCACAAAGATCCTGCCCGTCATTGACGCTTCTGAAGCAAAGCAAGTTTGTATTTGGAAAAACAAAAACAGAAAATTGTACCTAACTAAAGTCGCTATTACTTAGCCTCGTCTAATTTGACTATTAACCAACCAAGGGGCAAAAAAAAAACTGTAGCCTAGAGCTATTAAGCCGAGAGGTGGCTTCGCTGGTGTAAACGACACACTGCAACCGAAAGCGGCGACGTGCGGGTTTAAGTCGCTGCTTGCGGTCAGGTTTTTGTGCCAATAATGTGAGATCTTTTGTCCGCCGGGAAACCATCTGCGGCCTCTTATTACTTAGTTTCACAAAAACTCGTCTCTCAAAACTCTGTTTTTCAGTTGAAATGGGGTGAGCTGGTGTAGTGGCAAGTGGCCATGCTTAGCCCACGTATGTGTTATAGGGCAATCCAGATCGCTCCCGCCAGTTCTAGACAACCTCTAACGCCTAGAAATTGGTACCAGATTCGTCCAGGGAAATAAGAACACTGACTTGTCCATTGGCTGGCCCTTAAAGACAGCTCCCGCGATAAAAGTGTCATGGATAGTTGCTTTTCAATTATGAAACAGTAGCTGATAAGTAATCCCCAAGAAGAAAAAAAGCAAGAAGAGTCCTCAAGAACACCATAAACAAAATCGCTCCCTCACAGTCACACCTCCCTGCGGTCTCTGTGCAACCCCTGCTCACAAATCCCTTTATCACATCTCCCAGTAGTGGGTATCATCCAATGCAATGAAAAGAATACGAAAAACAAAAAACACGGAAGAAAAACTCTTGAAAAGGAAAAGAAACTTTCAAAAACTCGGCGTCCGAATTTAGGGTTACGGTAGCGTGCATCTTTTAGTGTAGTGAAGTGCGTCGAGCTTTTGCACCACGAAAATTGGGTCGCTCGTGATTTTTACGCGTTTTACCTTGCGAGGGTTGGAGTTGACTGTATGTGCTCCTAATGAATAAAATGTAATAAAGGAGAGCAGAATCATTCATGGGCACGAGCGCGGTCAGCAAAAAGGGCATGCAATTCCGATTAATGCCCGCCGCCCCAACAAAGAACAACTGAGCGGCCCTCCGTCAGAGGGCATCTAGCAAGTGGGCGGTCCAACTGGGCGGGCGTTAGAACTAGAACTTTCAGCGGCTGTAGCTCGCTTCGCTCGCTGTGGAGTTGCGAGAGTGGGATAGTCTCTAGCTTGGGGGCTGTACTACTTGCACAAGGAAGGACGACCATGTACTACTTGAGCGCGGGGGCTGTCTTTAAGTCCTTGTATGGGCCATGTCGCATTCAAAAAGCCACTACGAATCCGAACGGAAGTAAAACGCGAGCTGTATCCTTAGAAACGATCGAACGAACGGCGTAAACTTGACCCTTATCCTCTATCTACCAGTGGAATGAGTACAAAATCGCATGGATTTCGAGCCTCAAGTCAACAGAATCACTAAAGACCCATTTCCCCATAACCGGATGGGCGGAGACTAATGACTGCCAAGCCTTCCCCGTGAGCGTGTCTTCCCTTCGCAGCATTGGAAGGGTGGTTGCCCCAATGAGGAAGGCACAACAGTTACAAGTTTGCGCCCAAAACTCTCCCTTCTGGTCATTGGGGGATATGTCTAGGCTTGTTCGCTGCGGATCAATGGGCGTGTCAGTGAGGCTGGATTTAGCCCGCCGCCAGCCCCTTCTCCACCGGTTATTGGAGTGGATAGGCGACAACGGTGGCAGAAAATCAGAAAATATGGGTACAATCTTGTCGCTTACCGAAGGAAAAAAAACACGGGCTGGCGTTGCGCCGAACCCATTCTCCCCTTGACGGTACCCATCATCCGCCGCGAACAAGACTATATAATATATCCGAGAGAGAAAAAAATATGAGGACCGCGTTGACGGCCCAAGTAAAAAAATAAGCCACAAAAGATGATTATGCAGTTTTGCCTCTAGTTGCCGCTGCAGTTAACAGCCTCCCTCTCTTCTCTAGGATGACATCATACATTTATTATCAGAGTATACTAAATTGACTGAAAGTAAAGGTAAACAAACCTTGCAGGGATGATAGTATGACCTGAACGCCAAGTGATCACGGCCACACAACGGTGGGAAGTTGGCTCGAACGTGCATCTCAAGATTTTGGAAGAAATCGTACTCCTGAAAAGCTGAGATTCACTAAAAAAACTTTCCAACAAAACTCATCCTGATTCCCATTCCATCCAGAGAGCACTGCAGAAACTATTTTTATCACTCTATTTTTACATCCTGCTCCCTTTCTTGCTCTGCTGCGTCACATAACATGATTACCACTCATTCCCGCTCCCGCACTATTGACAGCTGCATATAGAAGCCATAAACGAATTAGCATCACATTTTCCACATCACATTCATGTTTTCGTAACTGCTAGCACTACAATTTTAGTCCATCGTCTGAGCAAAATATAAAATGAGAATATTCGTCCAGCAGCATGTACGCTTACAACAGGGCACATCACCATTGAAATTTTCTCACAAGGAAATCGTATTTTGAGTAGAGACTGGTCTTACTTTGGTTCAAGGGAGACCTGCGATGATGGGGAGTAAGTGCAGTATGCCCAAAAAAAACTGAGTTTCTGTTTCAATATTCTTGTGCCTGTGGACTGGATTCTGTAGACAACGTAGTTTTTCCCATTTTCCTACTAACAGCGCTCTAGTGTGGCAGCGGACCTATCCGCTTAAACGGTGGAACATTGGTAAGTCTGTTTCTTGCGATGTTGGCGTCTTCTCGAAGGGTTCCTGACACGACGTCGGAACCGCTAGAGTGACGAGGTGCTTGGTGGGGTAGGTTGCAAATCTAATACTTGAAACACGTTCAGGCCTCTGAAGACGACGATTGAGTCGAAACGTTAGGCCTTTTGAATAAATGTTCCACCTAACAACCTCGTAAGGCACAAGAATATTGAAACACTTACTAACATGCCAAGGTTGCAAGAAGAGAGAAGCTGGAGATTACTGAGATTTGTATTCTCCTGTTTTACGGCACTACTGACAGGTTTACCCCTTCTTGAAGGGAAAAAGTTGAGGTAAAAAGTGGGGTCCCTAATATGGCAGTTGGACTAGCCTAGACCCTGTTGTTAGAAGACCATAAAAATAGGCTCTTATTACAGTTCCAAGCTAATAGGGTAGAATGTGTGTGCAACACTCGTCCGGGAAACATGAGCTCCGGGTTCGAGTCCCCGAGCCCCGAGTGGTAGGGTAGCTGGGCGAGAGGGGGGCTGGAAACCAATCGCCAGTGCCTCCGTATCCCTCCCTCTAATCAAGGACGTCTTCTCTGCAGAACTATTTTTCGGCAACTCTGATCGTCTGCGCCCTAAGCCCCTAATCTTCTCAGGGAAAGGAGACAGAGACGCAGCTAAGTGATCACTCCCCCCCCCCCCGCCCCCAGTTACGTCTGCGCCCGCGTATTGACCATAAGTGAGCAACCTTGCTATAACTTTTACACCGCGAACCATGACAAGCAGCAGCTATCCATATAATGCAGGGTCTTCTGTTGCTCTGCCATGGTCTGTAGCGTTCTTTTCTATCCGCGCTGCGACTTTTGAACGCGACTAAAACGCGCGGCATCTTTGATCACGAAAATCCCGCGCAATGTCATCCGTCGCTTCGCCACGCCGCAATACAATTGTAGCTTGGCGCGTCGGAGACAAATAGCGGCACCCTCTTCCACGAAAGTCATGTTTTTCCGTACTAATTCCGAAGTCATTTTTCCTACTATTTGTAGGTTTCATTCATTTGTAGTTCAGATCGAATAGGTGCTATTTTTGGGACGCAAAAGGGGCTTCCTTTTGAAACCCCAAGTTCTGAAATTCAGAGCAGACAGTGCTATTATGGATATCACAACCACAAGGATACACACACCCAGAATAGCATCCTATTCGTATTCGCAGCAACGATGATAAACACTCAAATTGAATACGTTAACAATGCCTCCGTCGCAAATAACTTGCTGAAGGCTACTTCCTGCTTGAGTTTCCATTGAAAAGTATTGTTATTGAATCAAAGCCGTAGATTATCAAGGACAAAACAACTAGTGCCTGAGGTTTAGAAACGGTTATTAGGCCCCATTATTAGCTGAGCGAGCGATTGGAAAGCTACACTGACACCTACGCGTGCCCGGGCGATCTCTGATGATTAGTGAATTGTTCGATTTCCGGCAGGAACTTCTTGCTCGAAGGGAGCATCCTTGGTTGAGATAGCAGTTTTCGCTGCAGACGCTGGAGCGTGCCAGGGGGGGATGAGGTGAATTTGTCACGACGCCAGTTTGTTCTTCACCAATGGTTGCCGCGTGCCATCTTCATGCCACAGCGTCTGTAGCGAAAACGACTGTACATACACACCGTATCCCTGAGACGGGGTAGGCGTGGCATTTGAACATGGCACAGAATGGGTTACTCGTGGGATATTTCAGTTTGAGACAACTGTCATCCCTTGTTGGACAGAGACGCGACCATAATTATGTCAAAATGAAAATATCTCCCTATCAGCAAAACAACTGCTAAACTTGGTTGAAGTACGGAACCACGCCTACCACATCTCAGGGATGCCGAGTGTATGTGGGTTCCCGAGCACATTTTCAGCAAAAGCTTACACCTCAACCATTAGGTATTAACCCCACTGGAATCAAGCCTGAGAAGGGAGGAGAATCCAGTTTAACCCGGCGCTCGTTGCGCGGAAGGCAGAAGAGCGGAACCCCGCTCCTCTGTACCTCC